TTCCCCAGAACACTCGTGGACTCTCCCTTCACAGCCACAAGATCCTATTGAAAGGTGCACGGCCCCCGGGTTTATGACCACACTGCTGGGACAGCAAGTCTGTCTGCTGGTAACAGGCCTTCCTCCCAGCACTGCTGTGCCAAGGAACTGGGGTTCCGACACAGGAGCTCTTGGGGGACACACTCCAACCACTGTACTTTGTGTCTTGGAACTTTTCTGACTTTGTTAGCTTTGAGCACGTTTTCGTGTGGATTCTTTAGGGTTTCTGACAGGTTGGGTCACATCACCCGAGGGCAGAAATCACCTTGATTCTTCTCTACTTTGAATGTTTGCTATCTCCTTTTCTTGTTTAATTCTCTGGCCAGAACGTTCAGCAATGTATTGCAAGAGTTGCAGGGGAGCATCCTGTCTTATTTCTGGTCTTCGGTTCTCGTGACTGTTAACTGTGGGCCGTTCACGGGTGGCCCTTATCCTGTTGAGCAGTTCCCCCCAGTTCCTAATTAAACATTTTTATCATGAAGACTGGGGTTTCCCCAAGTGCTTTTTCTGTAGGAAGCACGAGGACCACCACAAGTTCAAGGCCAGTGAACTACGGGGGACCCTGGAGTTATGACCCACCTGACATACACAGCTTGGGTTACAACTGGAATTTTAGTTTTAACTTAAGACTAAAGTCTTGAGTTATGACCCAAATGTTATCTGCTTGAGCTTCCAGATGGTCTTAGGTATGGATTTAACCCTTAAAGAATACAGGAAGGAACATGATAACATCCTTTCCTGTGTGGTGTTAATTGAAAAATCCTGGGCCAATGTCTCTCTAAGGACACTGAGGTTTGCCTGTATATGAGAGAGAAATTTTGAAGGCTGTAGAGAGGAGCCTGAGACTTCAGTCAACCTACGTGAGTTACAACCAGCCCTAGCGAATGAATTGAGTTCCTAAGTCAAGGGTCCAATGTACATAGGGAGATCCTCTCTCAAAACACCCAAAACAACAAAAACAAATTTAACTGTAACCTCCAAGGTAACCACTAAGAGAAAAAACGAAAAAAAAAAAAAAAACGCAGAAAAAGAAAGACAAAGGGAATAAAAATGATTCATCATAAAAATAAACACCCAAAAAAGTCAGTTGTAGAGGCATTGAAAGGAAAAATAACTCCAGATGTAGAAAACAAATAACTACATGGCAGAAGTCAATCCTTATTTATCAGTCATTGCCATAGATATGTGAATCAAATTTTCCAATTAAAAGGCAGAGACTGGCTGTGCCTCTGGCAAGTGCAAGGTCCTGTGTTTGATCCCCGGTACCAGGGGGGAAAAAAAGGCAGAGACTGGTGGTTGCGTTTAAAAACATAACCAGTCTCCATGCTGCGTACAAAATGCACTTGAGATACAAAGGCACAAGGACACTGAAAGAGGATGGAAGGAGATCTTCCAGGTCACTGGGAACCAGTGAGGGAAGTATTGGTTTTAGACAAAATGGGCTCCCTGCGCAGTACTCTCCAAGACCAGCTGTCCGCCACCCCCAGGCCAGGCTGCCTAAAGCATGGGCTGGACCTGTCTGGCCTGCAGGAATCGGCCAGATTCCTTCTGCAGTCTCCTCGAAGCTCGCCTCTTGACACTTCCTGCAGTCTCTTGTGCTGCATGTTCGGTATAAACCCTTTCTTTCCCGCCTCTGTGGAGAGGACTCCCAGGCCCAGGAGAGTTCATTTTAATTGTTGGTCCCGAGGGTTTCCACAAACCCTCAATTCCATATCTCTGTGTGAATGTCACACCCAGGAGCTGCCCCTGACCCCGCAGTCTGCTCTGCCCTGCTCCTCCCCTCCACCCTGCTAAGCTCAATGGCCTCTGCATCCCCTAATTCTTTTTCTCTTTTCAGCATTGGGGATTGAACCTAAGATCTTCTCACTGAATTTCTTCCTCAGACCTTTTTTTTTTGTACCAGGGATCGAACTCAGGACCTTGCGCTTGCCAGGCAGGTGCAGCACCACTGAGCTACACCCCGACCCAACTTTTTTTTATTTATTCACTTTGAGACATAATCTTTTTGAGTCACTAAACTGTCCAGACTGGGCTTAAACTTTCAATCCTTCTGCCTTAGCCTTCTGGAGTGCCTGGTTACAGGCATGCATCATTGCACCTGACAAACTTCTTAGAGTTTACTCCTTCCTCACCTTTCCTGAGAAGGGATCTTGTTTGTTTTGGTGGCTGAGGGTGTGGGACTCACCCAAGCTGGACAGAGTGAATTTGCCACCTCCAAGCTCCAGCTCCTGACCAGTCCCAGCCCTGCCTGCTGTGTTCCCACATCAGCAGTGGTGCCTTGTCCTGGATCACGGACCCCACCCACTGGTCCCCTTCTCCACACCTGTATACAGGATACTGACACCAATGCCCACTGACCCTTCTGTCCTAAGCTCTTGGCTCCTCTGTCAGAACAGAAGCTCCAAGGCCCCTCTGCAGTGTGTGCAGGTAAAGCCTCGTCTGAGGTCCCCAGGGACCCTGCCTACCCAGGAGCCTCTCGCCCACCTGCCTGGGGTCTGTGCTGGGCACGCTTCACCCCCACCGGGTATCACTCACTTACTCAGCCTCTTTATTGCTGGTCTGCCTTAGTCAGAGAGCAGTGCTCAGAAGGATGACGCAGGCGTCTGCTCTGCCCAGTGGGATGAACGAGTCAGAGGATGCAGACGCCTGAGGACTCGCCCAGGAAGAACGCAGGACCGGAGTAAATCCTGCCTCCTGCAGGTGACCGAGCTGCCCGGGTCTGTCCCCGTTCTAGGGCTCCAGTTCCTCAGGACTTTCCTTCTGGGCGGGTGCGGCCCCTGTGGCGGGGAAGGAGGGTCACTGGCCCAGGCAGTGGGGTGGGCCGTGGGGCCCTGGCTACGCTCTCAGAATCCAGAGTTTGGATCTGCTCAGAGCCCAGCACTGACGCTACCACCACTTGGTGGCAGCACGCGCATGTCCTCCAGCTGGTGCCTCTCCTCTCAGCAGGATGGCGGGACCCCGAGGGCCACAGGACTGTTTCCCTCCTCCGGGGCACAGCAGGACAATCATGAAATCATAAGGAGGCCGCCCCTCTAGCAAATCTCTCATCCCAATCAAGGTCTAGGCATAGCTTGGGGTGCCTCTGTGTGTCTGGGAAGCAGGAGCAGAGCTTGGGCCCGACCCTCATCTCCCACCCCTCAAGCCTGGGTGGGAAGGAGGCACTGCAAGCACAGGAGTCTGGAGATTGACGGCAGAGCCCTGGCTGCCCACCCCCACCCTGCCTGGCCTCTTCAGCCCCTTCCCTGGCCCAGATGCCATACCTTGTGGGGGGCCCTAGTCCTTTACGGGGACCGTCAGGAGAGGGTAGTGTCACACCACGTGACACTGATCCTAAATGACCTGAAGTCCACTGTGGGGACCCTCCTCCCCATGAGTCCCAAAGAATCTCATGTTTTAGGGGAGGCCTGGACCCCTGAGCAGCCCACCCACACCCCCCGGGGGGGCGTGGTGGATGTTGGGTGTCCTGAGGCCCAGCCTAGCGGGAAGCGCTGAATTGCTATCCATTGCCTGGCTTCGTGTCTGGGTGCTGTAACTAGGGGGTTCTTGTCCCTAGCTCAGCACCATTCTAACTGGCACACCTGGACTCCTTGCCCTCACCCCAGGGCCCTGATCTTTGTCCTCCCAGGAAAAGGAATCAGGCCATGGGGTCTACTGGGCAGAGGGGGCTGTGGCCTTGTACACGAAGTAGGCCAGCAGGAGGAGGAACGGCTTGGGCCTAGGCTGCGGTCAGAGTCTGCAGATGACAGCAGCAATATCCCTGTACATGTCCCTGTCACAGCAGTGAAGTGGATACTCTTGGGGGCAGCTTGGAGAGCTCTGTGAGGGTTCCCTGAAGGCCCATGCTGGGGAACCCTGGCCTTCAGCCCTCCATTGAGGAGGGTGCTTGACAGCTTCCATGAATGTGAACCCCTGGTCCACCCCGACTCCATGGCAACAAAGAACAGCTACTACTCTGCTACTGAAAGAGAGGAGACCCTCTCCAACCCCTGTCACCCCAGGTTCAGGCAGATTGGACTCTAGCGGAGGTGGGGGGTCAGATGCTCCAGATGGAGATTGTGGGCTTTCTGTGGATCATCCAGGCAGGATCACAGGAAAATGAATCGGGTCTATCCTCACACTGGTCTATGGAGTAGGTACCGGGGTGGCTGTGCTGAGTCCTGCGTCAGCATCAGTCACTGTGGGCAGTCAGGGCTTCCTGCAGCTGCTTTAGGCAAGGGAGGTCACTGTGCCCACGGGGAACATGGAGAGAGGGGGACATTGAGAGATGTGCTGGGGACCTCAGGCCCGTGGATTATAGGCCTGGGCAGGTCTGAGGCTATGGCTGGAACAGGGTATCCCCACTGTGGAGAGTGGTACCCCCTTTTCAGCCAGGCAAGAACATAGACTCTGGTTGAGGCAGAAGGGCCACAGTCCTCTACCCAGCCTCCCACCCAGGCCCCACTAATCTGCAGGGTTGCACTGGAATTCAAGTCCCTACTGGACTCTGGGTACCCCACCTGCACTGCCAGAAAACAGGTACCAGGCTGCAGCCCCTTGGGAGGGAAAGCCCAGTGTTAGCTTCTGGCCAGCTCCAAGACAGGCAACCAGGACCCCACACAGGCCCAGGGCTCCTGATGGCTCCCAGTAGCCACACTGCAGAAGAGCCAAGGAGGCAGAGGCCAGAAGTTCACTCACACTGACACCCTCCTCATGGGGCTCAGACTAGGCCTGCCTGCAAGTGCCATCCCAACTATGCTATCTCAGGGCCATGAGGAAGGAGGTGCCGATGACCTGGGGTGGACGACCTCTAGGAAGCGACAGGCCATGGGGAGAGGGTACTAGGGAGGGACTGGCAGCTAGGTCAAGATCCCCCCAGTCCTGTGTCCCTGGAGGCTGAGAAGCAGCCCTGCTAGGTATGTTTCTATTTCTGTTATAGAACAGGTAGAGCAGGAAACTTACAAAGAAGAGAGGTTTATTTGGCTTGTTGTTCTGAAGGCTGAGAGGCCAGAGCATGGGCCAGTGTCAAAGGCACTTGGTAACCTCTGAGCTGTGTCAGAGAGCATTACATGGTCACACTGGGGAGTGTAAGGGGCCCCGTTGAGATGCTCCAGTGACCGGAAAGGATCTACCCACCACAGGTCCTGTGGAGTCCCACGCTCCACACCTGCCTTTGGGACCAGTGTCTAGACATGAACTCCCAGGGACACACTCTAGCCACCACAGACCTCCCAGGGCCCAGAAAGCCAGTCCTGGTCACCCTGCAGATGCCCTGTCCAGGGCCAATGCCAGCCCCTGGGCATCCAAGGCCAGAGAGGCCTGGGGCTCTGCCCACACCGGTGTCTCCAAGTGAACCCCACCTGCCTGGCTCACTGACCACCATGGCCAGGGGTCTAGGGGGCATGACACCAAGGGGTCCACTTGAGGGTGGCCCCTCCCTCCCCCTAGGAGGGGTTAAAGGGTCAAGGTCAGCATGGCCAGGTTTGCTCAAAACATGAGTACATAAGATGAGCCAGGGTCCTGTGGGACCGCTGTGGCTGGGGCCAGGGCAGTCATCAGCGAGGAGAGGCTTGTCCTGGGCTATGGTGTCTGGGACAGGGACAGGGACAGGGGCAGCGGCAAGGACCCTACGAGGACAAGAACATGGGCAGAGCAGGGACAGCGACAGGGCAGTGGGACGCGCACCCTACGAATACAAATGCGGAGACTGTGCAATTTCTCTAACATAGCTCTGGTTACATGGCCCGCGTCCACGAGCGGCTGCCTAGGGCCTCGGGCTCCTTGCGGTCCGGGGTCACGGTCCTCTTCACGGGGTCCCGAGCCTCACAAAGCAGGAGCCCTGAGGATGGCGGCGGAGAAGGAGCCGCAGCGTTTGCAGGGCCGCAGGCTTGTAGATGAGCAGCTACACACAAGGCACGGGGTGGGATTGCTCGGGGGACCTGCAAGGAGAGGGCGCTCAGACCCGTGGCCATCTGAGACGGCACCCACCGCCTCCAGATCTAGACGTGGAGACTGCGCCCACCCAGGTCCAGATGTGCACCCCCATCTACGAGCCCAGGCGGCGACACCCACACTGACTCCAACCACTCCTGTTCCTGGGCGAACCGACCACGCCCACTGACGACCACACCCAAGGCCACATCCTCTGCAGCTGAGACCACCCCCGACACCCCTAGACTGTGACCGCAAGCCACGCCCTTCAAACAAAAATCCACGCCCATTGAGCGTCCCGCCCTAGAGTCTCGCCCAGTCCAGTCTCTGCTAGCCAACCTCTCCCACTTCCCCGGTGTCCCTCCGCCTGCCTCCCACCTACGGGACCCAGGTGGGCAGGACGAGAGGGCGCTGTGCCAGACACAGCCGGAACCAGAACACAGCACCCTCCAGAACTCCAGCTGGGTGGTAAAGGCAGGAGGATGCTGCAAACACAGAAGACGTGTGGGCGGGGCGGGACCGGGACCCCCCCCAACACACTCACCAGCCCTTGGCAAATTCTCCCTTGTTGGCCAGTGGTCTTAGCCCTTCCTTCATCCCCAAGGACCCAGGGTCCCTGGACACCGACAGGCCTCCTCAAGGCGGGGGCACAGGGCAACCAGGAGATATGGGATGGAGGTCCTGCACCACAGCCCTGTCCCACATGCTCCCTGAGGCCACAGGTGACAGGCCCAAGGGCGGGTCAGGGGCTCTGTCACCCTGCGCTAGGGCCAGAAAGTGTCTCTTTGCACCGAGTAAGGGTTCAGGGCTGAAGGAGAGGATGGTCCCGGGCCTTCATGAGAGAGGGAGTTGGGGAGGCTGTGTGCGGGGCACAGGTAGGAACACCAAGCCCTTGGTGAGGGAGGTGCAGCATATGGACAGCATCTCAGCTGGTGAAACAGGAAGGCAAGACCAGGCCCAAGCAGGGAAGGGTGCCCATGGGGCATCCTGGGTGTGGGGGATGGAGAGCACCTGGCAGGGGGAGGCCTCCACCCCCAGTAAGCAGCACCCCCATGCAAAGGTGAGGCAGGAGCTCACTGTGCACACCGTTCTGCCCTCAGTACAGCGCACAGGAGGAGACACCCATGGGAGATGGACCCCAGCAGCTCAGGGACAACCGGTTTTCTGAGCATTGGCCTATGGGTTTGGAGCCTCTTCCTCCACATCTGGGAAGGAGCACAGACTCCCCATGATTGTTTCTAAAATGAGCAGTTTACAAATACAAAACAGCAGACAGAACAAGGCCAATGACTGGGGGTGAGGGGAGAGCAGGGACAAGGGGAAAAAAATGAGAACCAAGACCTGTCATGTAAAGGTACAGGATCCCAATAATGAATGTAGTGTACTGTATACCTAGATTGTACCAATAAACTCAATTTTTAAAAAATGAACAAGGCCGATGACTTCACCTGTTAGAATCACCACATCATCAGGCACAAAAACCACGAAATTTCAAATGCAATGTAGGAAGTACAGGCAAGGGAAAGAAACCATAAAGGGTAAACACATACTTTTCTTCTTGTTTCTTTTTGGTGCTGTCCTTTCTGGGCTGCATGCTCTAGGGTACCACAGAAGCTCTGGGGCCGACACAGCCCATCATGCCTTCCTTCTTCCACAACCATCAGCCCCCTCAGAACTCGCAAGAACCATGGTGCTGGGCAAACACTCTGACTCCCCACCCCACACCCTCAGTGACAGCGAGACGTGAGCACCATCCGCCCTTGTCCTACCAAGGGGAATTCACTGGAATTGCTGCCCAGGGCCTCATTTTGCTGCTGTTGGACTGGCCACACTCACTGAGATCCCAGTGGTCCCCAGTCTGCCCTGTGCCCTGCTGCAGGATGCATCCTGGCCTCCCTCCCTGAGCCCACACAAACACAGGGGACAGGGACAAGACAAAGGCACCTCTCTGCAAGGTTACCTGGTGCCGGGGGCAGCCCATTCAGGGCACCAGACACCATCCTCAGGCTCTGAGGCACGGGCACCAGGGGCTGAACACTTGGAGAGTCCAGAGCTGCAAGTCGGGCAGGCTGAGCCTTGGCCAGGATGCTCCTCAGGCCCACAGAGTCCATGGGCTGCCAGCTGCAGGTGGGGCGTGCCTGTCTCTTGTGGGGTTCAGTGTGGCTGTGCCTCACCCCACGTCCCCTCTCACCTGCCGCAGGCCATGGGGGCACAGAAACCTTCTTGTCCCCCAGGGTCCCATCCCGAGGCACAGGGGTGGGAAAAGGGCCACCCACCAGGTCCATCATGGCCGAGGGACGTGACACTTTAAGCATCTGAGCCTCTGGGAGCAACGCTGAGACACTGACAGTGGGAATGGGTGGCATCTGCCTCTTGGCCCTCCTCACGCTCACACCTTCCACGCAGACGTCCGTCACGCTGAAAGGCGGCAGCTCCACGGCAGGCTGGGAGGAAGGGTGCAGATTAGGGGACCCGCACGCACTCCAGGGTGCTGTCTAGAGGCCAGAGGTCCCTCTTCGGGTAGAAACCAGCTGAGCCTGCCAGGAGGTCTGAATGACCCCAACAACCTCTACACCCTGCAGTCCCATCTTCACACCAACGGGCACCCCAGCACCTGTTCAGTTGCCAGTTGCCATGAAGACAATGGAAAGAGCCACACAAAAGCCCCAAGAGGAGTGAAAAGAGGTGGGCCCTGAATTTCTGGGAAATCTGCCCTCCCGCTTCCAGACATGAGCGTTGCTCCTGGCTTTGCCTAACCCTTCCTTTCCAGTCTTCACCCTGTTTCAGGACCTCCTGTTGGGTTCAGAAGCTGCTTTGTGAATTTCACTCTGAGTCCCCTACACTGCTAGATTGGTCTGTTTATCAGTTTCACAGTTCTGAGAGGGGAAAGGGCCCAGCTTGGGCTTGGAAATCAGTGAAAACTTGGGCAGGCCTGGGGTCCCAGGCAGAAGTCCAGAGGCAAAGACCTGGCCAGCTGGAAGGTTCAGAGAGGAGCATCCCCAGGAGCCCCCCACAGGACCAGGAAAGAATAATACGCCCAGGCCACGGCCCCAGGGACCGGGTGAGCAGAGCTTCCAGGACCCCAGGTGTCCAGCAGCAAGCTCTTCACTTAGTCTAGATGAGGAGGCTGAGACAGGAAGATTGAGGATGGCCCAGGCCTGCAGGCATCTGAGCCTGGCCAGAGCTGGAAGCAAGATCCACATCCAAGGCTCTAGTAGGACTGCTGGCCTGCAGCTCCATCCGGCTTCCAGGGCCCAGGAGGCAGAGCTGTCTGCAGCGCAGGGCTACCAACCCCGGAATGTGCTCACCTGCCACCACAGAAGCTCGAAGTGGCCGATGTCGCAGTTTCGGTCAAGCCTGCGGTCCACCACGACCTTGATGGTGTCTTCCTGCACCTGGGCGCACAGCTGGGCTGTGACAGGTGTTGATGGGTGCATGGTGGGGCTGGAGTTGATCTCGATAAGCCAAGGCCTGAAGTCTTGACCCAGGACGAAGTCAGCACCGTAGAGCTCAAAGCTGTTCTTGCGAGGCTCCACGTGGCCCTGGGCCACCTTCATGGCATGGGTGACAGCCCTCTTCATGGACGGGTAGATGAGGCTGCCCCACACAGCCCCGTGGCCCTGGCCCTGCAGGTACTCCTGGAACTGGGTGCTGCTCCACATGTTGTGGCTGGGCAGCAGTGGGCTGCGCCCCTTTTCATTCTGGAGGTGCTTCTGGATGGCGTTGTTGCACAAGTGGATGGCGCTGCAGGCAGAGTGCCCGTAAGGCCAGTGGTGCCTCTGCCATTGGCCCTGCAGGCACCCATGCTCGGGCCAGTGGTGGCGGGAGGAGCCTGAGCTGCAACACTGGATGGGGAAGGGAGGAGGGAGCCCTCCCATCCAGGGCCACCCACGGGGCATCGGTGTAAGGGCTTCCCCACCTCGGTGTCCCTACTCGCTCATCCCAGCAGGGGCACCAGCCCTTGAAGGGCTGATTGGGAAGGTGAGGTGAAATCAGGGAGGTCAGGGGAATTTCTACTTTATTTATACTCTCGCCTTGTTCTGAATGAATTTGAAACAAATGGTATCTTTGAAATCATAAATACTACATTTCGAGCTAAGAGGATTTTCATCTGAGCGGTCAGTGATCAGGCAGGCACAGGGCTAGGAATCAGATGGGCTCAGAAAACAGAAACAAGTCTCTGCCAGCTAGAAGGGAGTCTGGAAAGTCAGAAATGGTGGCACAAAGGCCATGGTGCTCATACTCATGACTTTAACTCCATCCAGTCTGCACCTGTGGGGCCACACCTGCTCACGTGTTGGTTCAGGGACTTACCTGAGGGCCAGATGGAGAGGCAGGGCTCAGCCAGCCAGCCCAAGGCCTAGAGGAGTGGCCCAGGGGTGGGGCCAGGGTCCCTGGGCCCTTTCTGCACAGAGAGTCTGGGTCCAGAGGTGGGAAGCACTGATGTGGGAGCCTGCAGCGGCTTCTCCTGGCCCAGCCCAGGCAGGACCTCAGGGGTGTAACCTCACCAGTATGACCTCAGGGGCATGACCTTCCAGGTGTGACCTCACAGGAGAGACATCACAAGTATGACCTTACAGATGTGACCTCAGGAGCGTGACCTTGGGGGCTTGACTCCCCATGTGGCCACCCCAAGCCTGGGGACATAGTTCATCTCCAGCAAGTTCTCAGTCCTCTGGACTCTGAATGACCTCCTGAGAAATTCCTCAGGATGTCCATACCCTCATGGCCCTGGCCTGGCTGCTGAGTGACATTTACAAAACCCCCAGAGGAAGCCATCCAGGTGGAAGGCTGCAGGCACCCTCTGCTGTGGGGACAGCCAATCTCTGAGGTTCACAGCTAGCTCCTGCCACGAGGGAACCTGCTGGTCGTGGGGTTCACCTAGCCGGCACCCTGTCCTGGGTCTGTCTGTGCTTGTGCCCAGTGGCTCGCTAGCACATCCCCAGGCCCAGAACCCACTGACCTGTCCAGGCTGTCCAGGGAGAAGCGCCGTGTGGAGAAGCGCAGGTAGCTCTCCTTGTAGAACCAGATGGTCAGGGGGTTCCAGTCGGTGACCAGGAACCACTGCCTGATGTCAAATTTAGTGTCATAGATCAGCAGCGGCGTCTCGATGTACTTCTGCACCACCCACCTGTTGTCCCGGGAGGGTAGGTGTTCGGCAGCCACCAGTGCCAGGATGTCCTCCAAGCGATCCATGCACACTATGTCTGCAAGGGGCAGCTGCTCAGCCAGTGCCACACATCCCCACACCCTGGCAGGACAGAGGCAGCATGGCCAGGCACAGAGCCAACCCCACCCTAGAGAGGCCTGAGACCCAGGAACGGCAGGGTGTGCAGGACACGTTCAGGTGGTGGGGTCCCGGAGGGGTTCCAGGGGATAGACACTAAAGTGATGGACAGAGGGGAAGAGCCAGGCAAGTGGTGGCACCTACACCTCCCGGTCTCCCTCTGCTTGTGCACTTTTCCCCCTTACCCCCCACCAGGTGGGCCATGTGACCCAGGTGACCAGGGACACATGGGACAAGCGTCACCGTATGATGCAGAGTGTGATGCCAGAGCAGGCCCTCCAGCCCACTTTTCTCTGCTGTGACACCCTGAGGCCTCAGGGGAGAGGCTATAAAAAGGCCACCATCTACCCAGGCTGCCTGCAATGTGTGACAAGCACAACTGAGAGGTGAAGTGTTTCACTAAGTGCTGCCGAGGTTTCGGGCTGCTTGTTTCACAGCACCATCTGGCCTGTTCTGACTGACACAAGGTGGAGGGAGCTCTGTCCACGGATCTCCAAAGCCTTAGGTGTCCTCTCACAAACCGCAAGCTTTCACTTCTTAGCTGGAGGGAGTGAGGATCTTCCTTAGGACACAGCAGCGAGCCACTATCAGAGAGCAGAGCACTCGTTCTAAATGGGGTCTGAGGTGTCCGCGATGGAAGTACGGGCCGGCCAGACAGATGGGAGGAGACAAAGGCTGCCCAGGAAGAGGAGTGGGCTCCGCACAGAGCCGAGGAGAAGCACAAGCACACACACACGTGCACACACACGTACACGCACAGCCAGGCAAGGGGTGCTCAAAGGGGCAGGAGGAAGCCCTGAACATGTGCAGGACACCAGGAGCATGGGCCATGTAGGCCCAAGACCAGGTTACTTCAAGACAGAAGATGACATTCAGGCCCAAATGCAACACAGCCTACACCCATAAAGATTTTAAAAATCACTTGTGAACCTAAAAAAGTTCTTCAAAGTAACTCGAGAGGCAAATAGAATATCCAAACTAAAAGTGAAGTCTACATAGATAGTACAAAGATGAGGACATAAATCGGACTGTGCAGTCAATGTTGGTGCGGCCTCAGAGCTTTTATTACTGCATGAGGAAGAGGAATGGGAAAATACCTCACAGAAAAGCCGAAAAAACACAACCAAAAGTCGATTCTTTGGGAACATAAATAAGATTAGAAAAATCACTGTGAAGTCCTACACACACACACACACACACACACACACACACACGTCAGGAAAACAGAGAAGACAATCACAGCGGCAGCTCAAGGACAGGGAAAGAGACCTGAGCGGCGGAGGAACGGCCACCACTGAGAGAATGTAAAAGGCACCCAGGATCTGCCTTCTGGAGAGGCAGCGTTTGGGTGGGGAGAGAGCTCATTTCTTTCAGAGGTCAGCCTGTTGCTCACATCCACCAAAGCGATATGAAAAAGGAAACCGGGGAGCAACTGAACTTTCACATACAAAGAAGAAAGCCCCAAGGAGCCACTACACCAGGGTAGCAGCACCAGAGGCCACTTGGAGTCCAAGCCCCACACTGGCTGGGATCCAGTGCCCGTTCCCTCCCATGTAAAGACTGTGCTTCACTCTGGCACAAGTAGTGGCTGTCACAGCGGTGACCTGCCCTTGGGGAGCACCCATCCCCAGGGAACTCACCCCGGCCCCGGGACTTGGCCGCGGGCTTTATAATCCAGATGTTCCGCAGCCCGTCGACCTCTGTCTGAGGGTTCACGGACTTAATTTTATTCAGCAGAGCCTGGCACTGCGAAAAGTAATTTCTTGAATTGAAGATGAAAGCATCGCCACTAAAAAGCAAGATCCAGAAAGTGTGTGAGGCTCAGAGACAGTGCTGGCCCCACTGAGAGTGGGCACTGCTAGGACGGGTGGCAGCTGACCTGGTGGGGAAGGATGGGGCGGGATGCGGGGGGGACAATGAGGACGTGGACCTGTGAGGCTGCGCCTGGGCAGGGCATGTCAAGGACCCCTCTGTGGGTCTGGACTGATGTGCACCTCAGGACACTCTGTTCCCAGGCTCTGCCTGTCAATGGTACCCGTACCATCCCCCACTACTGTGCCCAACTTCCGGGCTAGAAAGCTTGACATTTCCGACCCCAACACCATGTTGGGGGACTGACTCAGGAAGCCACTAGGGAACAAAGGCAGGGGTCAGCAGAGCTGTCCCTGTAGTCTGGGGAGACCACAGGTAGAGGATGAACAGCCCCACAGTCCCCAAAGCTGGCCTCAGACATGTGGGAGGCTCAGAGCCAGGGAGAAAGCATCCATATAGGCACCCTGCACATGTCCCAAGGCCACCAGGCACAACTCAGGCTGAGGCCCTGGGGCATGGGTTGGGGACAGGGGACATCTGTGTTCTGTTCACTACTAGGTAGGGAGGGCAGCATTCAAGAGGAGTAAGTGTGGGGTCTCTAGTCAGCTGGGTGAGGCCCCTGCCACTGTGTAGCTGCGGCCAGGGGCAAGAGTGCAGAGCCCCTGGCAGTGACAGCACCTCGGCTGGCTGAAGGAGTAGGGTGACAGGGTGGGTGGTGGCCCTCCCCAAAGGCTGTCCAGACTTTGGGGCCTTACATGATGTCTGACTCCAAGGAAGGCAGGACAGCTCAGCTGTCCTTGATGAGGACATGGTACCCACAGAGGCAGCGGGCCCTCAGGGTTTCCAGAACACCTTCCTGGCTTACAGGGGACAGTCCTAGGCTGTCCTGTTGTGACAAGGTCACAAGCAAGCCCCTGGTGACACAGTTGTCATGGCTTTGGTGTTTTCCATCCCATGGGAAGGCAGCCCTCACCGCCTCTCCCTGACATCTGAACCCCAGGTCCAGGAGGAGACCTCCTGGGGAGAAGGGGCCCTAGCTCACACCATGGTGGGGACAGAGGGTGATGACCGGGGTGTGAAAGCCAGCGGAGGCTGGGGCAGGAGGTTGGCAGAAAGTTTCAGGAATCATAGCCTCGGGTTTGGTACATCCCACACCCATCAAAGAACAAACAGGGTCCCTCCAGACCCTTTCTGAGAAAGAACCTTCCGTCCTGGAGCATGGTGCCCACCCCAGGGCCTGGGATACTCAGGGACCACCTCCAACCTGCTGTAGGGGCCCCTCCAGGCCAGGCACCCACTCTCGTGATCTGCATAGGGTTGTCCTGGGGCCTAATGCTGCTGCTTCGAGGTGACACCCAGAACGTCTTTCTACAAAACCGTGATTGGAGTTGTTTTCACGTACGTTTCCCGAGTGGCTAGAGATGAAGAACACTTCTTCATATACTTATCAGCCATTTGGACTTCTTCTTTTGAGAAGTGTCTGTTTAGTTCCTGTGTCCAGTTTTCGGTTGGGTCACTTGCTTTTGAGCTCTACGTATTAATCCTGCATGAGAAGAGCAGCTGGCAGCCTTTTCTTCCCACTCTGTAGGTTGTCTCTTCACTCTATTGGTGTTTTCCTCTGCTGAGCAGAAGCTTTTTTTTTTTCTGGTACCGGGGATCAAACTTGGGTCCTCGCACTTAGAAGGCAGGTGGTGCAGAAGCTTTTTAATATGTGATACCACTTGCTGATTCTTGATGTTATTTCCTGTGCTAATTGGGGTTCTGTTCAGAAGTCCTTGCCTGTGCTCAGGGTTTCAGGTGTTTCCCCTATGTTATCATCCGGGAGTTTAAACTTTCTGTTTACACATCTAGGTCTCTGATCCATTTGATTTGATTTTAGTGCAAGGTGAGCGATATGGGTCTAGTTTCATTCTTCTGCATATGGATAATCAGTTTTCTGATTAGCACTGTTTCTTAGAGGCTGTCTTTTCTCCAGTATGTGTTTTTGGCCCCTTCGTCAAAAAAATCAGATGGCTGAAGGTGCCTGGAGTTCTGGGCTTCCTGTTCAATTCCTTTGGTCTACTATCTATTTTTGCGCTAGAAAAATGTTATTTTGTTACCATAGCTCCTGTGAAGAATGTTATTGTTTTTTTTGTTTTGTTTGGTTTGGTTTTGGTTTTTTTTGGTACCAGGGATTGAACTCCGGTCCTTGCGCTTGCAAGGCAGGCCACCGAACCACTGAGCTAAATCCCTGGCCCTGTTATTGGTATTTTAATCGATTTCTTAAATCTATATGACACTTTGGTAATATGGCCATTTCAACAATATCCTGCATATCCAGGAACAGGAGATGTCTTTCCATTTTCTAACATCTTCAAACTCTTTGTTCAGAGTTTTGAGTTTTCATTATACTTCCTTCAGAATGGCCGTTATCAAGAACACACAAAAACCAAAGCTTAGGGCCAGGGATTTGGCTCAGTGGTTCCAGTGCCTGCCTCGCAAGCACAAGGGCCTGAGTTCAATCCCTGGTACCAAAAAAAAAAAAAAACAAAAAACCAAAGCTTGTGAGGAGGTGCGAGGGAAAGGAAACTCTTCTTATTTTGTCGGCGGGATTGTAAACCAGTACAACCATTATGGAAATCAGTATGAAGAGTCCTTAAAAAACTAAAAATAGAAATTCCATTTGACTCAGCTATACCTTTCCTGGAAATATTTCTGAAAGAATTAAAGATATCATACTATAGCGGTCCACGAATACCCACAGTTCCTAATAGCTGAGCCCTGGAAACGGCCCGGATGCTCACTGACAGATGAACGGATAAAGAAAAGGCACTATACATACACCTTGGAACATTAGTGAGCCATCAAGAAGAATGAAGCCATGTGATTTCCAGGAAGATATGGAGCCTGAGACCATAACGTTAGGTGAAATAAGATGCAGAAAGTTCACACAACTCTCTTCTATGAGAAGCCCAAAATATAAATAAAGAGTAAAATAAAGGAGAGATGGGGAAACATATTTTGGAGATGAAGATGGGGATCAGGGGAATAAGTGAGGACGGCGGGGGTTTGGAGAAGGCTAAAGGAATCGAGGATGACCAAGGTATGATGTACACCATACCAGTTCCCCAAACAAGCACTCATTTCTTTAAAAAGAAAACATGGCTGAGAGCACAGGGCCAGCTCAAGAGTGAATTGCCCCGGTTTGCCGCTCTCTTTGGTACTCAGATCAGGGTGCAAACGCTTTGGCTTCCGGAAGGTGCCACACTGTTCTGTTCCTGTGGTGGCAACTTGACAGCACCTCAACTCTGCCACCGGGCAGGGTCCCCTTTTCTGAGCTTGGCATCGGTGGACCCCGTGCCTTCCTCATCACAGCTGTGTCAGCAGCTTTGGGTTATGAGGCAAGGTCTTCTGAGGACAGATGTTTTCATGCCTCTTGAATAAGGACCAAGCAGCAGACAGGCTGCTCACAGGAGACGTGGACACCCAAGTTTCTAGGAACTGCCTGGGACTTTTCTAGAGGCTGTGCCACCTGCAGGCCTTCCCCGTGGCACCTGCATCAGGTGTCAGCACCTGACACTTGTCTCAGCTGTGCTGGGGTGCAGTGTCCCTCACTGAAGAGCAGAGATCCTGAGCCCCCAATTGTGTCTCACTGGATACCTGGTGCCCTTCTTTGTGAAGAGCCTTGCCAACCTCTGAGCATCTCTTCTTACTGACTGGCGTCTTCCGCACTGTCTGGATCAGAAGCTGTTCCTCCACCGGCCCTTGTTTTCTCACTCTCCTTTAGAGTGTTTTTAAAGAAACTGTTGGAAGTACTGGGGACTGAACCCAGGACTTTTCCACTGTA